AGAGCAGCAGAGCCTCCCAACATCAAAACCCGCCTTTCACGGATTAACCGTCTCCCCCTCTCCCTCCCGTCCCCATCCCTGCCCCGTCCTCCGCTCCTCCCCGTGACTTTGACACCTCATTCAAAGCCGCTGGCGAGGCCCCCCCTCCTCTCCCGCCTTCCCGAGGAGGCACCTTTTCAAGTGCAAAGCCGAGGGGGTTTTATTTAATCCCGCTCCGTCCTCGCTCCCATGGCCCAGGCCCCGCTCGCGGTGGCAGCGTCGCGGGCCCGGGCTCGGGTTCCGCCCCGCCCGCCGTGGGTGGCCATGGGGCCACCGGTGCCCACGTACCTGTGGGGCACTCGCAGTGGAACTCGTTGATCTTGTCGACGCAGACGCCGTTGTGCAGGCAGGGGCTGCTGGCGCACTCGTCCGTGTTGATCTCGCAGTAGACGCCCTCGTAGCCTGCGGGCGAGAGGCCGTCAGCGATGCCCGGGCACCGTGTGCGTGTTATAACCCCTGGGTTTCCACCCTGCCCTTGGTCTTCGCCAGCCCGCTGCGGTTTGCAGAAGGGAGAGCGCAAAAAGAGCCCGACGCTGGTGCCCCACGCGCCGGTCCCCGTCTCTCCATCGCAGCGGGAGACCGCAGGGCCCGTCCCGAACAGAGAGCTCTTTCTTTTCCCTTTTATCCCTAAGCAAACAAGCCTCTCATGGCTACTAGCCCAAATCAATCCCGAGCTGAAGCTGGCGGATGTGGGAGCCTTCCCCGGGCGCCTCGTCCCCGCGCACGCGCGCGTGCCAAGGCCGCGGAGCCCCGTGCGCACCGGGCATGCAGATGCACTGGAACTCCCCGATTTGGTCCAGGCAGGTGGCATCGTTCTGGCAGGGGTTGGAGAGGCACTCGTTGACATCTATCTCGCAGCGGGGCCCCGAGTAGCCCTGCAGGCACTGGCACTGGAAGGACCCCTGCGTATTGATGCATTTCCCCGCGTGCTCGCAAGGGTTGGCTCCTGAAAAACGGCACAGAAAACACCAAGCTAGGGAGCTGCTCGCCGGCCGCGCGCGAGCTCCCCGCCGGCTGCTGCCAGCGCTCACCCAGCGAGCACTCGTCCACGTCCTGGTTGCAGGCCGGCCCCATGTAGCCCGAAGGGCAGGTGCAGATGGCCTTGCCGTTGACGGGGTTGGTGTCGCAGTTGGAGCCCTCGTTGCAGGGGTTGCTGATGCAGGCGTCGTCGAGGTGGCACAGCAAACCTGGGGGCAACAGGCGCGCTCGGGTCAGGGCTGCTAGCCACGCGCGCCACGACGCAGCCGGACCTTCGCCATCACCTCCTGGAAGCCAGTGGCCCAGGAGAAGAGCCCGTGGCCTTCCCAGCCACCCCAATGCACGGAGCAGTGGGGATGGGGACCTCACCTGTGCGGCCGTGGGGGCACTCGCAGTAGAAGGAGGCCACCCGGTCGTGGCAGGTGGCCCCCTGGAAGCAGGCGGCCATGGCGCAGTCATCGATGTTCTCGCTGCAGTCCTCGCCCGTCCAGCCGTTGACGCAGACGCAGTTGTAGCCGCCATGGTTGTTGTGGCAGGTGCCCCCGTTCTGGCAGGCGTTGGGCATGAGCTGGCACTCATCCACGTCCTCGGTGCAGTACTGGCCTGCGAGGGCAAGGGGACCCCAGTGTGAGGCTCAGCACGGACACAGCGCCCGCAATCCTGGGGCAAGATCTGCAGGTCTTGCAAGAGAGGCTCCTTGCACCCAACATGAGCAGTTCTGCACTCTGGGACGTGGCACCGCTTTATTCCCCGGAGGAGGACCCAGCTCGAACCTGCTCCACCCTGCAGCAGCCTTACCTGTCCACTCGGGTGGGCACTGGCAGTTGTAGGTGTTGACGGCGTCCCCACACGTGCCCCCAT